AAAATAGTGTGTATATTTCTAAACTTATTGATACAAGAGAAATAGTTGATAGCAATTTATCTTTTCAAAAGATTTTTGTTGAATAACAAAGTCGAAGAATTCTATTGTATTTCGAGAATATTAATTTACTTTAAAAAGATTTTTAAATTGGTCGATAATTATTAGACCACGCAAAGTTAATTTTTCGTCATTACATAGAATCTGAAATTTGGATTAAATTACTTTTAAAAGGTTTTTAATTGGTTGATAATTATTTGGCCACGCAAAGTTAATTTTTTCGTTTTGCATTACATAAAATCTGAAATTTGGGTCTGCCAGTCCTATCGAATAATCCCGGTTTCATCGGAGAAAAAAAACAACAAATTTGAATTTTAAAAAAATTAAAGTTTGAAAAAATGGGTCGGTCTGGTCATGCAAAACGAAAAATCAACTTTGCGTAGCCTTGTATTGATTTGGTGTGAGTCTAATAAAATATTATTATCGAAGTATTTATTCATTTTACGGTAAATAGTATAGAAGCCTATTATACAATATAAGCTAATTCGATAATTCTTCCCAGTATTGTTCACTTTATTTTATATTGTAAATAAACTAGCTACATATAATTACTTAAACATTAAAAATTTTTATATAAATTTGAAAATCAAATCCTGTTCGAAAATACTTTCAATTTTGTAGATAACAAAAGTACACACTTTCGGGAAATTTACAGTTGTTCTCTCAAATTTTGGGACAATTAAAACATTCTCATTACCGAAATCTTTTCGGTTTCGTTCTGTAAATTACTTAGCTCTCTGGAAGTTACATTGTTGTCTTCAGATTGAAGGTTCGAAGATAACAATGTGCTTCCGGAGAGTTAAATATTTACAGGATGAAAAGGATTTCGAGTAACGAGCAAATCTTAAGTTGTCCCAGAATTTATGAGAATACCCGTAAAAAATTGATTATTTGAAAATTTTCGGCCAAAATTTATGAAAACAGCTGTAAACAAGATCATCAATTTTTTTGCATCGTAACTGTATTTTGGATGTTGAATATGAACAGTCTGGACTTTTCATATCCCAAACTCAACACTAATATCATACAATTATGAGATCATTAAGGTTTCTCATCATTATGTACGTATTCGTACGCTTAATGGCTTTATTTAGATCTACGTTACGTTGAACAAGAGTGAATAACAATTGGAATTGATAGTCGACTAAAAATTGCTTAGTTGTTCCAGATTCTATTATGTTGACCATGGGCTAAATTTAATAGTCTAAATTAGTAATCAAACATTTCTTAAATTTTTAGATGTCCCTGAAATTATCAGCAAAGAAATATCTTTAACAAAATAAAATAGATTATCTTTCATATGATCTTCAGTATTTTACCAATGATGGTGAATCTAACCTCATCTTATTATTGCGCTTTTCAAATTACTGTGATCAGCAAATTTCACATATCACGCTGGGAATCAGAAATCTAAAATAAATGCAACTTTGTTATTGGTTTTGGAAGTAATTTTTAGCCAATCATGTATACGCATTTATTTTAGATTTCGGATTCCCGGTGTGATACGTGGAACTTGCTGATCACAGTAACTTGAAAAGCGCAATAACTATTACTTCAGACTAATTTAATTCAGTGGTTTACATTACCCCATCTTCTGACTTCCCCTCACTATATGTCGAAAAATTTCGGAAACTTTTATTATATCGCGGATCATTTCGGAAAAAAATTTATAATAAACTCTCTCCAGCCCGCCCCCCTTTTGTGAGAAGGATGTAATGTAAACCACCGAATTAAATTGGTCTGGCCTTATTTATTAGTAGATTAGTGCTACCTTCATTTATTTTCCTCAACAGTTTGTCTCCTGCGCTGCCTTTCTGCAGTAGCAGGTATCAAAAAACATTTTAGTGGACAAGCTTTCATTGAATAGCAAAGTACATAAGCTAAAATTATTTCGGGTAAATAACTCAGTTAATTTTAACGCTTATAAAAAATTGTTTAGTGTTTATTTTGCAGTATTTTTAAATTTATTTGTATCGATTATCGTTATGCATTTATTCGTCATTTTTATGGTATTAGTATTGTGTATTGTAACGAACTAAAAATCTGGTTTTTTATTTTTGTTATCTAATATATTAAAATCTCTGGGATTATGCATTGTCAACGACCAATGCATATTCGTGTAACACATATATATAGAATTTATGCAATGCTGAAGATCCTTGCATTGTAAAATTTTGATATAGAATTGTCATTAAACACCAATCTAATGGTAAAATCAGGATCCTAATTTAAAAATATGAAATTTTTACTGGAAACCTTTTTTGGTGGCGATTTTCCCTCGATATATGGATACTGGGAAAGATGCCTCGCCACAGTTGGTCACGTGAAAGTAACATTTGGTGTTAGTTCAAAATAATCCAATAATGAATCTCGATTTGGTGTAGCATTACCGATCAGAAAAATACGTTCGTTTTGTCAAAAATCACTTATACATAAAATCTGCATAGGAAACCGCCGTCTGCGCATTAACAAAAGTTTTTCCTGAACAATTTTACTGTTAAAATCTCAAATCTTAACTCTTGACACTAAACTAGGCTCTAACCCTACTTAAAAATTGTTTAATTTCACATGATGATAAATTTTGTTGGCACTCCTGGGGAGATTTATTTCTGCCATTACTATTCTACTAGGAATTAAATCCAGAAGTAAGAATTATGATAAATTGACTTGTGTAAATTGAGGTCAATTATGCGATGCGTGCGATATAAATTTATACAATTCTTCAGAACTTTTCGGTCTTCGATCAAAAATTTTGCCCGTATAGGCGAAAAATTTTTGATGGAATATTGTGATCATTAAAATTAATTGATGCATATAACCATTCCGAATAATAACAATATATTACGCAGCGTCATTATATCAAAATATTGTTAAGCAAGTATACAATTAACCAATCAAATACAAACAAAATCTTAATTTATCATGTTTTTATGACGGTTTCATAAGTAATTTATAAATCAGAAGATAATTAACCAATCATACAATTCATATATAATTCAATTTTATTATTTAAACCAGCAATTCCACAACATCACATAAATGGTTGGATCAAATTTTATGAAATTTTTAATAATCACCAAAATCAAAAATGCGCTCAACGTCCAACCTTATGTTCGTTCATTGTCTACATCGAAGCCTTACGGCATTTATTTCGAAGCACACATCTACCAATCATAATCAAAGCACGCGGCTTTAAATTATGCGTTTTTTTTCTAATTATGTGACGAACATGCGATGCGTAAAAATTGGCACATGTGCATATTATGCGACCACATAATTCTGGATATCTTTACCCGTAAAACCACGTGATCTCGGATTATTTCTGCCATAACTAGTCTACTATAGGAAGTTCATTTGGCACTTACGTACTTTGCAGCAATTTTCTTACTCCATTCCCAATATAAGTTATTGCAAAAGGCTATCGGATGATCCGAAAATTTTCCAATTTATGCCATGACATAAAATCGGCTTAGTAATACTGTATAAAGTTAAAATGGTCACACAGATTTGATGTCGATATTAATGTAATTGTCAGATTATGCTGATTATGCTGATTACAGGATTATGCAGAAACTAGCTATAAAAATTTGGCCTAACCTAAAAAAAACCAAAATTTTAGCATCATCTAGTGCGAGCTTCTTTTCTAAACTTTTTCTTTTAAAAAAATTTTGATTTCATTACATTACTTATAGCGAAAGCATTCCACTTAGCCGTTTCGACAATGATTCAAATTCTACAAAGATTAAATATAACTACTTACGATATCTTTATTCTACTTTTACTTTCGTTCGTGAGTTATATTATTTATCTTGTAATAAAGTTTCCAGATTGTGCGATAGGAGTAAGGCCGAGGAAAGATCTCGTTGGGCCTAAGGGTGTTCCAATATTTGGAAACTTTTTCTCATTCTTAAAAAAAAAGAGTTATATTCAATTCACGCAAGAGTTGGGAGATAAATATGGATCACTTTTGTATGCATTAACATTTAAAATAAGTAGTTATGCTATTGATGAAAGACAACATTCACTTCAATAGTTTTTTTTAAATAAAATAAGCACACTTACAATTCCGAAACTTGGTCGAATCATTATATCAAATGATCCACAAACAATAGAACATTTACTCAAAAGTGAGTATTTTAAATCAAAAGGTTAATTCGAGTAATTTTAACATTTATTAATTACATGTTCTAAATTAAGCGAATTTTGAGGATTATGGAAAAAATGATGCCTTTTACGAAATAGGTTATGATGTATTTGGAGATGGAATATTCGCGGTTGATGGGTTTGTATCTTATTGAAGTTATTACTGTGCTTAAATATATATTGCAAATTATTATAATACATTAATACTTATTAAAAATACAAATAAAGTTATAAGTGGAAATTTCAAAGAAGAATAATAAGCCAATTATTCATGGGGAGAAACTTTAGAAATTTGATTTATACATCAATAATGGAAAAATCTAAAGTCGTATTAAATATTTTAAAAAAGCACGCAGATAGTGGAAAACCCATTGATTTACAAGACTTATTCTTCAAATTTACTATGGATACTTTTGGAGAGTAAGTTTTCCTAATTCTTATTAATTAATGTTGCAAGTTTCACTGAATTCAATTGATTTTTTTAAAAACAACAGTATGTCATTTGGTGCAAATTTCGAATGTCTAACCAATCCTGAAGAAAAGTCACAATTCGTTACTAATTTTGAATATGCACAAAATGTTATGTTTAAGAGATTTGAACATCCTTTATGGAAGATTACAGAAAAATTTAGTGAAAAAGGTCGACGAATGCGTGAAGCTTGTAAATATATTGATGACTACATATATAACATGATAAATAATTATAAATCAAAGCTTGAAATTGAGAAGAAAACTGCTAGCAATTTGTTAGCTTTGCTTATTAATGCTGTTGATGAAAATGGTAAAAAATTTAATGACAGAGAATTGAGAGACGTTGTACTTAATCTTATTATTGCTGGTAAGTTTATAAATAGAAAACTGAAAATGATGTGAATTCAATGTATAATCTTCTTTATACAATCGTTTTTATTGTCACTTAGGTCGTGATACTACCGCGCAAGTAAGTTGCAATAACTGTTTTGGAAAAGTATTATATTTATTACTAAACCCTAAGTTAAACAGGCTCTATCTTGGATGATGTACTCGATCATGTCAGAGCAATCGGTTGAAGATTTATTGCTTCAAGAAATTAACACACTTCTTTCTCCTGGAATTATCGCTCCATCATATGATGATTATAAGTTATATAAATATACTTTGGCTACATTTTACGAAACTCTTCGACTATACCCTATTGTTCCGGAAAATGGAAGGGTAATAATAGTAAATTTAATTATGTTCTATGGAAATTATTGTTTTTTTAATTATCTTTCTTTTTCAATTATAAACCAAAGGTGTGCGTTAAAGATAATGTTCTACCTAATAACACCCCAGTATTTGCTGGTGAATATGTAGAGTATAACCTTTTTGCGATGGGAAGAGATGAAAAAATATGGGGAGAAGATGCGAAGCAGTTCAATCCCCAAAGATTTTTAGATTCTGAGGATGGTTTAAGACCAAATAAATTTAAGTTTGCCTCCTTTCATGCTGGACCTAGAACTTGGTTAGTAATAATTACAATAGTACTGTGCATGATTTAATGTTGTACATGGTAATTTTTAAATTTTTAATTTATTTTTAATAATTATAGTTTGGGTCAACAATTTGCAACTCTTGAGGTAATAATGCTTGTAGTAATGATGTTTAGAGAATTTAAGTTTGAATTAGTACCTGGACAAAAATTGCCTCCAGAATTTGAGGATTCTATTACGTTGCCGATGAAAAATCCTCTTATGACTCAAGTGTCTTTTAGAACTAAAATTTAATATGGACTTTATGTTTTTTTTTAATGTTACATATCCGTTTATTTTTTCTAGAATGGGTCATAAATACATAGTTAAGAATGATAGTTTATTGTACAATATTTGTATACGTATATTGTAATTCGCGTATGGTTTCATGTAATGGTATAGAATCATTGTGGTTTATCTCTAATTCGTTTATTTTGTTTTTCAAAATACATCTGTACTGAAGTTAAAGTTTTTTATATTGAAGCGTGAAGTTTTAGATACTAATTACTAAATTTTGAAAACTATTTCTTTATTTAAAAGTTTGCTAATATATGGGATCTTTGCCTTGAAAGTCGCGTTATGGAACATATGATTTAATATGTTCCATAACGTGATTTTCAAGGCAAAAAAGACCCCATATATTTTATTAAAGGTGAAATGCTATAAGATTTGGCGTCCAAACGTTGAGCCTAATTCAAGTTCAATTTCTTGTCGAAAGATTATTTATTACAGAAATAATAAGCAAAGGAGGATTTAGCATTGGATTTTCTGCGATCTGGTTGGATGGTTTACGAAAATTAAAAAAAAAAAAAAAATTGAGAAAATTAATGACAACTATGATAACTATTTCTTTGAGAGAGCTCATGAGCCAAGTAGCATTTTTGCACCCAAGACATTATCTGATTCTAAAGACAATCCTCATAATATTTTAAAAGAAGTTAATCATTGTTCATTCCATTGTATAGTTTATTAAACGTATATTAAACTGATTATTATTTAAAATTATGTATAATGTTTGCAATCATATGAAATGTACGCTCAAGGGCAGCAAACTTAATATATATTGGTTGACTCAAAATACAGAAACAAATGAATACTTGATGATATTTCAGTACGCAGATAATGGAAGTTTTAGGTAAAAATTTTTGTGATCTTACTTGGCAAACTCAATTAAAACTACTTGTAGATATTTCAAGTGATTCAGTTGATATTCATAACACAGGATATATTCATGCAGACCTTCACAGTATCAACATTTTGCAAGATAAAGGCATTAATAAAAATATACAATCTTATATTTGAAATTGTCTAAAAAGTATGATGAAAATGAATCAGGCGGTAAGCGTACAAGGTTGGCGGCGCAGACAAAATTCTTAAAATTCAGAGTTAGGATCTTGAGAAGAGTATTTATATATAGTAAAATTGTCCAACGAAAACTTTTTGTTAGAGCACAAAAGGTGATTTCTTATGCTGATTTTAGAGCTATGAGCGATTTTTGGCAGAAAGATCGTTTGTTTCGAATCTTCCTGATCGTGTTACGTTACACCTAATCTTGAAATCTGATTCGTATTTCAGGAGAGCTGCGCCGCCAACCTTGTACGTACGTACGTACGTACACATTTTCGGTATACAGAAGGTAGTGTATATGGTGTCATGCCTTATGTCGCACCAGAAGTTTTACCAGTCCAAAAATTTACAAAAGCTGCCTATATTTATTGCTTCGGAGTCATAATGTAAAAATGTCAACTGGAGAAGACCTTTTGATGGTTATGAATTTAATATTGGTCTTGCAATAAAAATTCGTAGAGAATTGCGGCCAGAATTTGCTCCTGGAACTACGAATTGCTATATTAAATTTGCTAAACAATGCATGGATTCTGATCTACAAAAATGACCTGATGCAGGAGAATGGAATAATAACATGAAAAGTTTAGATAATGCAAATAAAATTAAAAAGCAATTTATGTATGCAGATAAAATAATCAAAGAATTGCCAATTGTAACACCAAAACATCCAGTGTTTATGTACACATTAATACACAGAAAATATTAAGTGCAATGAAAGGCATTTATTTTAAAATTAGACAATATTATTTATTCGTTTAAAACTAATTATACTATATTAGCAGCTTTGCCAAGTAAACCTATCAATTATGTCTGAGTTTCTACTAGTAAATATACTTAGGTGATGGATCAACGGAGTTTGGTAATTGATCGTAAGTCTTGTTCTCTACCACAGTGACCAACGTGAATGGCAATATTTGATTCCACGAACTTCTAGAATCTGAGTTTTAATAAGCCAGATTGAAATTACAAGTCAATTCAATCTTTCGAATTGAATCACGATAGGTTTATTAAAGTTACAAATCGAATTCAAACGATAGTTCACAAGGGAAAAGTATTTACTTTTATTAAATCAGATGTGGAAGAAATAATTAAAGTGACATTTATTACTTAGAATATTTGGTTTTTAAATATATTCTTAATTTTAAGAACGTTTATACCCAGAAGTAACGTTTACGTTACTATTAGCACGTTTACAATTTCTTACCATTTCCTTATGATTATGAAAATACATTATTCTTACAGGTTCATACGGCCGCGTATACGTGCCAACGGTCGCTTTACGCGAAGTAACATACATATGATTAAACCACCGATCGTTACAGTATAATGATAAGTTATGAAATGTTCAAAGGAAAAATAATAAATTTACCAAAATTAGACATTGTTACCAAAATGGAGTTGCAATGAAATTCTATATCGAAATAAAATATTAAGATTTATTAACAAAAATAAAAAACTAGATTTTTAGTTCGTTACAATACACAATACCATAAAATGACGAATAAATGCATAACGATAATCGATACAATAAATTTGAAAATTGCTGAAAATAAACATTAAACAATTTTTTATGTTAAAATTAACGGAGTCATTTACCTACATTGCCTAATAAATATTTTAGCTTATATACTATGCTATTCAATGAAAGCTTGTCCGCTAAAATGCTTTTTAATAAAGTAAAACTTACAGCTACTGTAGAAAGGCGGCGCAGTAGGACCAACTTCTGAGGAAAATAAATGAAGGCAGCATTAAACTGCCAAGAAATAAATTAATAGTTAATAAGTGGAGATATGTCGATTCACCACAATTGGTAAATACTGTAGGCCATATGAAATTTTTTTTAAAGAGATGTCTTTGCAGGTAATTTAGGGACATCTAAAAAAACTTAAGAAATGTTTGATTACTAATTTAGATTATTATATTTTTAGTGTATATTATATGAAAGAACGATTTTACTATTGTAATGAATAAAATTTTTCTTTTTTCTTATTCTAAATTATTTCATTTTATTTTTTTTATGTTAGTATAGCCTATTATCATTATTATTATTTGTACATACTTTCAATTCCATTTTGATAACAGTAACCGATTTTTTTCGTTTCGTGTATAACCTTTTAAACCAAGTATACAAAAATGGTAGTTGATTTTGACTTATTTTATGCACCGTATACGATCAAAATATCGCGTAGATCCCTACAACATGAGCGTACACGATTAAAAAAGAGCGTATACGTTCAAGTTAAAGCGAATTCGCTCAAATTTGAGCGTAAATGTCATAGAAAAATAAAATGTATACAAGTGCTGAAATTCAATAAAGAACGACAGTACCTGTTCACTTTCAAATAGCCAAAAATAAATAAGTACATTTTCAGTTCCCGCTAAATAATCATAAAAGTATCTACTTAACTAAATTTCCCTTGAGACTTTATATTTGAATTCTACTTGTAACTTTAATATCCAATTCGAGACTCAATTGGATAGACTGAATTTACTTGTAACTTCGATTCGCTTATTAAGACTCGAATTCTAGAAAGTTTGTGGAATCAAATATTGCCATTCACATTAGTGATTTGCGGAAATAGTGGTAGAGAACAAACTTACAATCGGTTACTAGTTTCGATTAATCCATCAAGTGAACTTAAAGTTACCACTGATATCATTTGATCATCGTCCGCTTTTACATCACAATCTTCAAGAGGATATCGCTAAATCATCATCACCGTCTTTAAGATCATCGCTTTATTATCACCCTTAACAGCATCACCTCACCTGTTGACATCAAAGTCATCACTCTATAGTCTATAGCGTCCAATTAGTCCCTTAACAGTTATAAAAATCTATTTCTTAAATTATTATCCGTATACCGTTGGAGTTAAATTGGTATATTATCTATATTGTTTCATTAGCTCATCCAATCAACAGTTACACTATGAAGGAATAAAGCATCAAAAAATTTTTTTTAAGTATTTAACCACTTAATCGTTTATCCAGCACTAAGATGATTTTAGCCCATGGTCAACATAATAGAATCTGGAACAGCGAAGCAATTTTTATTCGACTAAACAATTTCAATTTTTATTCACTCTTGTTCAATTGTAACGTAGGTCTAAATAAAGCCATTAAGCGTACGAATACGTATGTACATACATAAACAATAAGAAACCTTAATGATCTCATAATTGGTGATATTAGTTTGCAGTTTGGGATATAAAGTCCAGTCTGTCCATACTTAACCCCAAAAGTCAATAAGCAATACAGTCACGATGCAAAAATTTTACGATCATGTTAAAAAAATTTTGAGACAACTGAAATTTTCAAATAATCATATCAATAGTTGCTATTTTTATTGCTGTTCTCAAATTCTGGGACAATTTAAAATATTGCTGTCCTGTAAATTACCTAACTTTCCGGAAACACATTGCTATCTTCAAACCTTCAATCTGGAGACAGCAATATAACTTTCGGAGAGCTAAGTAATTTACAGAACGAAACCGAGAAGGTTTCGGTAATAAGAAAATTTTTAATTGTCCCAGAATTTGAAAGAATAGCTGTAAATTATCCCGAAAGCGGGTACTTTAGTTATCTACCAAAATGAAAGTATTTTCGAACAGGATTTGATTTACTGAAATTTTCGAAGTCATATAAAAGCTTTTTAAAGTTTAAGTAATTATATGTAGCTAGTTTATTTACAATATAAAATGGATAAAATAAGTGAACAATACTGGGCAAAATTATCGAATAAGCTTATATTAATAAGCTTCTATACTATTTACGTAAAATGAATATTACTTCGATAATAATATTGTTTTATACTTAAACCAAATCAATATAAGCTACGTAAAGTTGATTTTCGTTTTACATAACCCGACCAACCCATTTTTTCAAATTTTCAATTTTTTTTTTTAAATTCCATTTGTGCTATTTGTTCTATTTTTGTCGTTTTTTTTTTTCTCCGGATTATCCGACAGGACTGACAGAAAAAA